CTCAGAAAGGAGAACTTTTGCTCACAAGACTCCACAGCTTAGAGGGAGCATTGCTCACAACTTCAATGCCAGGAGCTCACAAAGTAGAATTTTTGCTCACATGACTCCACCGCTTAGAGGGAGCATGGGTCCTGACCCAATTTGGCCCGTGTGGGGGGACACACACTGTTTCATGGCACTCAGCCAAAACCTTTAGCAGAACTAATGGACAGAGCCTTTCAGGAAGTAACAGAGAAGACTCCAGACTGGATGGAGACCTGGGGGGAATGGGGGGCTGCCTTCCTGAAGACAGCTTCCTGGGGGAAAGCCCCACTGAATGACAGAGAGCATCCTTCTGACTAGAGTGGCGTAGGATTGTTCCCACTGTTAGCAAATAAGCATGGCCCACGTTGCTTGCATTGGTAGCCGCACACCCTCCCCCCACATTGCAACTTTCAAAACCAGGATCTCATTAGTGTCTGCTCAAACTTTTCAACATGTTGCATGCTGTTTATGATCTGTTAGTCTGTTTGCATTTATAGCTCTGCTATTTTGCAAAACAAAGAAGACAAATCAGCCCCCCCCAAAAAAAACATTCCTCTTTTTCACATCGCAAACAGACCGGTGGTTTGTCAAACACTGTAAGCATTTTTTCCCCCTGTTAAGCAAAGTGATACTGAAACTTGGCATCAAGGGAAACATTACAGAAAGTGATATCGTCCTCCTATCCGGTCTCTCGTGTCCGGGAAGCACGTGGGCAGTTGCTCCAGTCTAAATTGTGCGTTAGCTAAAGGAAGCTTGCAATGCCGGCGTGGGGGAGTGGTCAGAGTGTCAGGCTAGGATCTGGGAGACCCAGGTTCGAATCCCCACCATCTCTCCGCCTCAGCTTCCTCGCAGGGTCGCTGTGAAGTTAAATGGAAAACGGCAGCCTGAGCCCCCTCCGGGCTCACCAGTTCATAACAACACTAGTCGTGAAAGAAACGCATGCCAGTAATGCCACAGAGATTTCGAACCCCTTCGCCACTGTGAGCTTTCAGTGTGGTGGCCCTTTTACGCTGCCAAGCAAATATTTCGAACCCCTTCGCCACTGTGAGCTTTCAGTGTGGTGGCCCTTTTACGCTGCCAAGCAAATATTTCGAACCCCTTCGCCACTGTGAGCTTTCAGTGTGGTGGCCCTTTTACGCTGCCAAGCAAATATTTCGAACCCCTTCGCCACTGTGAGCTTTCAGTGTGGTGGCCCTTTTACGCTGCCAAGCAAATATTTCGAACCCCTTCGCCACTGTGAGCTTTCAGTGTGGTGGCCCTTTTACGCTGCCAAGCAAATATTTCGAACCCCTTCGCCACTGTGAGCTTTCAGTGTGGTGGCCCTTTTACGCTGCCAAGCAAATATTTCGAACCCCTTACTTGCACTCTCTAGAGCAGAAGAGGAGGCACATTCCCTTACACAGCTCTGGTCTGAGACCACAGCAATCGCTTTGCCACCTGTGCCGAGCATCACACACACGGGTAGGCCAGGGAACTCAAACAGACTGCTCCGTCTCTCGTGTCCGGGAAGCATGTGGGCAGTTGCTCCAGTCTAAATTGTGCGTTAGCTAAAGGAAGCTTGCAATGCCGGCGTGGGGGAGTGGTCAAAGTGTCAGGCTAGGATCTGGGAGACCCAGGTTCGAATCCCCACTCGTGCCGTGGCAGCCTGCTGAGTGACACACACGGCCACACACTCTTAGCCTAATCCACCTCACAGGGTTGTTGTTGTGAGGATAAGATGGAGGAGAGAACGAGGTAAGCCGCTTTGGGTTCCCGTTGGGGGGAAGCTAATGAATGAATGAATGAATGAATGAATGAATGAATGAATGAATGAATGAATGAATGAATGAATGAATGAATGAATGAATGAATGAATGAATGAATGAATGAATGAATGAATGAATGAATGAATGAATGAATGAATGAATGAATGAATGAATGAATGAATGAATGAATGAATGAATGAATGAATGAATGAATGAATGAATGAATGAATGAATGAATGAATGAATGAATGAATGAATGAATGAATGAATGAATGAATGAATGAATGAATGAATGAATGAATGAATGAATGAATGAATGAATGAATGAATGAATGAATGAATGAATGAATGAATGAATGAATGAATGAATGAATGAATGAATGAATGAATGAATCCTGCCCAAAAATAGCCCTGATATTCATCATCTATCACCTTTTTATCACGCCTTTTCTCAAAGGAGCTCACAGTGGCATATAAGGTTTCCCTCCCCTTTGCTGTAAACCACTCTCAATTTCCCAGATGGGTCTATGGTGGATACCTATGGTAAGAAAGTGGGCTTGTTTACAGGCATGAAACCTGGCCAAGGAGAGACATGACCCTCCTCTCTGCACCCATCAGTCTCCCTAACAAGCTAACAGATCAGCCACCCATCATTCCCAGTGAACAAGTTCCAGGACTTCACACAAGGAAACACTTTCCCTCAAAACCTGTTTTCAGTGCCAGGATTGGTTGTCACTCAGGAAAGTGGAGTAATAAGATGTTTTTTTAAAAAAAACAAACAAAAACAAACCGTTTACTCACAATATCGTTACGTGCCCTCCGCTTTCCAAGTGAGAAGAAGTTCCAAGGTCAACGTTCACCGGGTTTGATTTCCTGTCGGCAAGAGAAGAAAGGGGAGAATTTGGTAATATTTGCTTTGTCAGTAAACATCAGGCGGTGTTCAGCCGGAGGCAATAAGGCACTCTTACACAGCTGCAGGCCAAAGTCCCAGAAAGAGGGCTTCTCTACCACACGGGGCTCTGCTTTCAGACAACTCAATTCTCTGGCTCCCCAAAGTCCTCTTTCCCCACCCATACCTGTCCCCTTCACCTCAGCTGGTGGGATGGAACCTTCTCCAAATTCTGAGAGGCCCTTGAACCAAAGATCCACCTGGAGACCATCTCCTGACAAATAGCTCCCACTGAGGAAGCATCTATGCCCATTAAAGAACACACTGATATTATTTTTTCAGACTCCATTATCATAATACCGACAAAAATACATCAATAAATATTTTTTTTAAAAAAAAATGAAGAACCACCATTAGAATATCTATTGATTCCCAGTGGAATGAGCATCTTCCCCTGTCTGCCAGAGGAGATACAGAGGAGAAAAACAAATGTGGACTTCCAGAGGAAAAGCATTCTGTAACTGCATAGACATCACAGAAAAGTGCTGGCTCTAAGCTGGAACTAGAGACGGGAGCTCGCTCCGTCATGCGGCACACTCGGGTCTCAAACTGCTGAACTACCAACCTTCCACAGCCTGCAGTTCAGCGTCTTAACCACTTGAGCCACTGCAGCTCCTGCTGGCTCCTAAATGCTGGTAATTCTATCTTTCTCAAAGACTGAGCCTGTGGCAGGGGCTCATTAGCGGATCTTAGAGTCCCAAGGAGCTCAAACAGGAGATGGTACTCCCATCTGAGACCCAGATCACACAGGATTCTAAAGGTTAAAGCCTTGAAATACATCCAGAAACAAACTTGTAACTGTTGCAGATGTTTTAGAACAGGTGTAATGTTTTCTGACCATCCTATACTTGTCAGTACAGAGAAAGGCATTCTGTCTTAGCTCAAGTTTCTGAACTGTCACCTAGGGCAGCCACATAAAGGGAGCATCACAGTAGTCTAACCTGGACGTCTCTGACCTGATGGTAATCAGGTCTTTGAGCATCTGCAGAGTTCCTTTTGATCAAGAAACTGCAACCAGTATTCACTTATCTGAAAATATTTCTA